CAAATGTAATTGCAATTGTCCTGCTAGGGAGAGGCTCTGAGGCAACCTCTGGATTTCCAAAGGTAGCCAGGCCTCATCTCAACAGGGCATGTGATTAGGGTTCTCATGTTTCTGTTTTCTCTTTCTTTCTGTCTATTGCTGCATTTGCTGTATTAGCTCCCTTTCTTTTTGTCCCCCAAATAGTACCAAAAGACTATTGTATTTGAAGGTGATTATTTAGGAGTTTCTCTTTTTTAAAAAAATAATATAAACTAATTATAGCTGTATAAAATGATGAACAAATGTAAGGGACCTCTCCTGTACCTTTTACCCAGCTTTGGTCCATATTAACATCTTATGAGACTATAAAATAACAAGAACCCCAGGAAATCGTCAGTGATGTAGCTGCAGTGTTCGTTCACATTTAATTGGGATTGATTTTTTGAACAATCACTGTTTATACTTGATAATCAATTAACACTATAGTGAAGACTGAAAATTATTTCATGTGTTTATCGTGGGTCTGTGAGTTTATGTAAATGTGATTACTGTTGTGTGTGTGTGTGTGTGTGTGTGTGTGTGCATGTAGTGCCGAATGTCTTTCTCATTTTGTTAGACAATATTGGGCAAACAATAGAAAATAATATGTAAGCATGTTTAAAAATTTTAAGATACTAAACATAATGAAGTACAGGGCCCCAAACTTTTAGTTCTCGCATTGAAGGACAATATCCATAGATGATAGGTTGTACATACATTCAGCTTCAGAATATATGGCTGTGGGGGGGGGGAACTGGAGTGTATAGTGGAGTCAACGAAAATTACATCTAAGCATTCAAATCCGAGTCACAGAGATGGCAGGGACCTTTGATCCTGATACAGCTATGTACAAATTACTGTATTTTGAAATATTGAATGGCAGATTGTCTCAAATCTCTGATTGAAACTTAAGACAATGAACAAGTACTCTTTATGGGTGGTTCTCCTTCTGTTGAGCTAGTTTTACACTTATACAAGGTCTTTGTTATGAAAGCAAGGCTCTACTTTCCCTGCAACCTTCATGCACTTGTCTTTGTTCTTTCATTTGGGACCAGGCAGAACGGAGGTCACCTGGAGAAATCATCATTCTCCTGAGCTCTCTCTTCTCTGGCCAAATGATTTAAGTCCTTCTTAATAATGTGCACCTCAGGGAAACATGCTAAGTTATGGTTGCGTTCACTAGGTCAGACTCCAGTAATACAAGGACTGACCACAACACCCCACAATCAAGGGCTGCACCAAGATCTTTGTGTCTGTCAAAGATATTGGAATCCATGTTCCTACAAACACATTAGCACGGTTTTCTTTTTCTCTTTTACTTACATCCCAGTTTACTTTATATTGATTTAAAATCAATTACTATCCCCTGAGTATGTTTTTCAAGCTTCAGTATTTAGCCATGTCTCCCTCATTGTGTGTATACATAGTCTCTGGCATTAGAGTAGGACTTCATGAAGAGCCTTCTTAGGTGAAGCCTATTGTGCCGACTATTGAGATTTTCTTTTATCTTGGCTCCGTCACTAAATATATTTATTGTCCTATTGGGTCCCCACTGCCTGCAATCTTTAGAAATTGTCCTTGAGAAAGTCTTGCCCATAAAAGGGTGAACTGGAGACCATTGGAGAGCTATAGATTCTAACTGCAGCATTTTGACCTCCTATTAATGTTAAATTTTAATTTAGCTATTACTTTTTGCTAAGGCTTGACACAGAAGTGGCTATACAAAATGACTCTGTATTTTCAATGACGCTATATTAGGTGATTCAATGTCTCATTTGTAAGAGCCCCATGGGAAATCTCTTTTCTAGCAGAAATGATAAAAACAAGAGTTGAAGTGCTATGAGTTTCCCTCTGTTTTGACTTATAAGAAAAAAAATCAATTGCTCAATTGCTGTATCCTTTCTTTATTTCCACTTATCGATCTCCCCTCCCTCTCCTTTTATTACCTGGCATTTCATGATATCATCGCTGTATTAATGATAAATTTTGGCAGATATCATGGCGTATCGTTTCTAAAAGTAAGTTGCAAAAATAACAAAAAAATGATGCCATTAGAAACATCATTTAAGATTCTTAGGTCTATAGGATAATTTAACATTTAATTAGATCAGTAGGGAATTGTTGTCAGAATGCTTCCTAAAGTGCCTCACCCTTTCAAATCACTTCTTTGAAAAATTCACAGCTTAGAGTGCTATTTCCTGAAAATCTTCCATATGTATCTTCCTAGGCAGGACCTTGATTCAAAGCAGGCAATTCTATCACTTGATTATCTGCTAACCTTGCCCTTGGTTTGTTTTTGGTCTTTCAATTTCAGGGTCTCCAACCTCATTTTACAGTAAAATACTTTATTTTCGCTAAATACCTTGACTTGCATGAAATTCTTTCTACTGAAAGGACCTCTGGACCCAGAGTTAAAGGCCCAGGCTCCTGGGCTTGCATCAGCTACTGTTTCTGTGACCAGGGACAGGGAAGTAAGCCATGTAGTTTTTCATTATAGAAAAATACCTTGAGATGAGAATCTGATAAAATGGACAGAGCTATCTTTCTGATTTACTTTAAAAATATTTCTTTTCTTTGAGATTAATAATTCCTTCCTTCTATTTTCTCTCTCTTGCAAGCCTTCCTTACACCCCCCCCCCTTGCTCTCTTTCAAACTCTGGGCCGTTTTTGTTTTCACTAATTGTTGCTCCATAGATATGTGTATATATGATTTACTCATAAACACATTAAAATAGGTGATTGCTACCATGTGTTGTATGGAGTTGCAGTATTTTAAATTGTAGATCTAAGCTTGATAAACCAGACTATGGCGAGGGCAATGATATAGCACTATATCCAAAGCAACACCCTAGCCAAGGCCAGTGTGAGCATTTGTTTGACTAAATGCAGTGAACGGATGATGGTTGCTCCTTAACAAACTGTGTTAGAAATTTAACAAACTCTGTTGAAATTAGTGCCTCCTTCACTAACATGATATGGCCAATATGGAAACTTCTAGTAAACTGCAGCTTTTAAGTAAACGTGGACTCCAGAGTCCCTGGAAACATAAAAGGGGTGTAAGAATCCTGTTGATGGGGTTAGCAAGAATGGGAACGTAAGATAAAAGTTAAATTGTATGCTTAATAAAATTTATGGTTCTCTGTTTATATAAGGATAAAAAAATTGACCCTGAAATATTCCTGAGTCAGATATACCTTTCTTCCAAGTCCATGGCTGGAACACCCGAATGGACAGAGAAGTGGGACCTCACCAGCTTCACCGAAGAGAGGTGATGGCAACTTTCTTATTAATAAATACATACTAATTTGCAAATGTACAGCAGAATTTCCTTTAAGGTTTCTTTTCACCACATTAATAAAAGCATACTCCTGGAATTTTAAAAATTGCACTGGCTTCAACCTTCTTTACTGGTCACAATTACTTACCAAAGATGCATAAGACTAAATGTCACAGGATGATATCCGGTAGACAGGTGGCCTCACTAATTGTAGCCAGGGCTCTTACAATTAGCAACTATTCTGCCTGCTTGCCTTTGAGATAGCAGAGCTGGGGATTAGACACAATTAGTCTGTAATGACAAGGTAAAACTAGGTCTGTTTGATTTCATTGTTGCAATGCTCCCTGCTGCTTCCCAGGTTCACCACAAGGTCACTGCAAGAATAGATGCCTGATTGTCAAATGCTTGGAGCCCCCGCACTGTGCTCCTTGCAAACACGTGGGTTAAGCAGAGTCTGTTTGCTCCCCTGATAGAGTTCAAAGTCAGTTTACCTATTGGATTGATGTCAAATGGCTATGGTTACTTTGTACAAGTACAACGAGTATGCACACATTTGAGTGCTATATTTTTTGTTACCCTTCTTCCTATTCTTAAACCTGCCCATTCTTTAGATCTGCAAAGTATACTCAGAGAAATGATAAATTAGTAACCCGAGGCCTAGCTTATTGTGTCTCCCAATGTTTGACCCTGCTTGGGATTTTCTATCAGAAAGCTGGGCTCTAAAATTATCACTGGCTACAAGCTTAGAAAAGCGATAGTTATTGAAAGGTCAGTAAGACACTTATCTCAAAGCACTCTCTCCTAGAGAAAGGAGAGGGAGTGGTAATTTGGGGATCACAATGATGATATCAAATATTCATAAACTGCTAATTTTGATGTTATTGGAGAACAGCAGAGGCCAATGGAATTGCTTTTGCTATTATAAAACAGCTATTTTTGTAGTATGAAATAAGTTTTTTTTAAATGCAGATTAAGAGTACAGATATGAACAGAGAAATTATTCTATAGTTAGCAATAAAAGGTCTCATTTCAAACATAATATGTTAAGTATTGTGTTTTGAGCATAAAGCAATGCAGCTACAAAGAACTGATTATCTACCTTAGAAGTCAAACCTTAAATTCTTTTAGTAAACGTTTATAGGTCAAGGGGTAAGTGTATCTTCATAAATTCAAATCCTGGAACTCGTGATCTTGGATTGGTTATGTTTGAGACAAGTGGAAAATAAAGGCAAATACCTATTTGTTTCCCAGAATGCTATTTCTTGGGGTGGGGTTGTGGCGTGGGGGTGCAGTACTCACCTATGTACACGTGCAATGCCTAGCATTGAAACAAACGAACGAATGAACAGACAAAAGGAAAACAAAACCTCAAACCCAACCGCTTATAGGGATTTAGGATGAAAACGACATTGAAATTACATTCTTTTAAACACTAATTTAATAACAGTATTCTGAGGGGGAAATTCTATGCGATAATTTCTTGGCATTATTTTCTAACTGTTGATATTTATTATATGTGTGCAGGATGAAGTGAGACATACGAATATAGAATTGTTGCCTTTATACCCATTCAGTCCCGGGAAAGTGGTTGGATATGGGTAGAAAATTACTGTCTGTACTAGATTTTCAAAACTGGCTTCTTTGGTAGGAGTTGGAGAAGGCACATACTTAGGGGGAAAAAATTCTGTGTATTTTATCCACATACCACTCCGTTCACTGAAAGCAGCTGGTCGCCTCTCTTGAGCCCTCCGTGTCTTTCAGCTACCCCTCCGGGGATGATTCGGGAGATATAAATTGGGGAATTCTGTTCCTTTCCTCCCATCACGTTGAAACCCAGGCCTTCATCAGTCTTTGGCAGTTCGACTACCCGAGGGTGGGAGTGACCTTCGCTGGCTGCAAAGGCTGCAACTGTTGCCTGAAAGAAAAGATGGTCTTTTGGTAATAAAACAGGGGACATAAGGCTACCTCAGGGGGCAACTTCTTAGACATCTCTCTAGCTGTCTCCTGTAGAACGAAGAACACAGAATGTCTTCTTTTAGATGCTGTATATGACTATTTTCTTTGGCAAATCCTCAGCTAGTCGTGTGTATCTTTGTGAGGCTTATCTACTCTGAAAAGTAAAACTGAAAACAAAGGCACTGTAGAATGTTCCAGAGTTCTGTCAGTTACATGGAAATCCTGATCAAGGACTACAAACAGATTCAGTACACATACTACCTGGTACATATAGCTGTTGAATGCATGCTGACCACACGCATTTCACAGGCAGGCTGTACCATGCTGTTGCTATGGCACACAGTCTATGTTCTTGCCTGCACATATATGCTCATCAATACTTATTAAATAAGCTGATGAGCACTTTTGTACATACATATTCATGAAAATACATGTAATCTTGTTATCACTGAACCATTGGTTTAGTAAGCGTGAGGGTTTTTAATGTTTTGAATTCAGAATGTCTAAAAGAAAATTAAAATTAAGTACTTGATCAAAAGGTATTCTTGTTCCACCAATATTCCATATTACTATGAACAGCATCTTATTAGGCCTTTGATTATATCTCTCTTAATTCTGTACTAACATTTCAGCTAGTGTAGTGACACAGGCAAACCGAACAGCTTGGGGCTTTATACCTAGGTATACAAAATGTTATGTAATATGGTCATAGGTCTATGTTAAAATGAACACATTAGCTTCTTCAAATTCAAGTGATCAACTTACCATTAGCTCCCACCCAATATGAATAACATAGTAGTTTCAATCAAGAAAAGATTCGCTGCCCGCTTCTTGTATTCTACTTCCATTAGCTCGCCTTAACCACAGCTGATTAGATGCCTAGCATAAAGTGATTTGCTCTCAACACTGTGAAAATATTGATTCCCAACTACTGTACCTTCTTTTCCCACGCACAACATTATCACATCAACTTGGCATTATGCTATTGCCTGCATTTAATGAAAGATAGTGAACGACATGGAGATAATGGCTTGGTTTTAGCTACATGCATTTGCGCATGCACACCCTGCTGCCATGCAGAGGTTTTCAATGGCGGACATGGATGCAATGCAGACAGCCCAGAAACAACCAGAAAAGATTGTGCCGCTGCAACGTTTTGCTGCTGTCCTGCTGTTCTACATGAATAAGAAATGAGAATGGTAAAACACTACATAATTCACTTTCCCCTTAATTAAACCATGTAGGGATCATTTTTCTGCGTGTGTTCCACTTCAGAACAAGCAAAGCATGATGTAATGGTAATCATACCCTCTATTTGCCGGGGTTCGAGAGGGAGAAAGAAACTTAAAAATCCACAGTGTTTAGTTACAGGATGAAGACTGAAAAAATCGGGGGAGAAATCAAAGGACAGGTGATAGAATGCAAAGGAGTTGAATGAAAGAGTCTTGAGGATTCTCACTTCTTGGTATAATTATTGGGAAGTTACACGCCCTTTACGGAGAAAGTTACATTCTGTTAAAACATTTCTCTATGTGTACAATAGGAGGCGCGGAGCTGTAGGAGCGACTTCAGATTACCACTAATATTTCCTAGTGATCCATCTTCCAGAAAATGTCACGATCCTCTTTTGGTACTCTTTCCAAGGGGACCTCGGTAATCCCTGGGTTTGATCCTTTAAAGAACAAAAGCGTTACCTGCCAACAAGCAAATCACCCACTGCCCAGCTGAATAACAAAATTCTCTGCCTCACTGGTGTCAAGTGAAGCCTTTCGACTCTAACTTACATTGGGGGCTTTTGACCTGTACAAATGCATTCTCATGCTCTCCAGAGGACATGGGTTCTTTTGCATCCGCAGGATGTACCAGAGACCATGTAGAACTTGATACAGTGAAGCCGCAGGTTTGCTTGTGCCAAATGGACATTTAGTGAGTTTAATGACGTCATTCTCCTTCCTTAAGCTACAGAAGCAGCAGAAAAAGGTCAATTTTTCCATTAGGATTTTTACCTGGTAAGGAGTACTGGTTCTAGACTCTGGGCTGCCACTGAGGTCTAAATTCTCTTACAGTGTACACACGAGAATACCTGAAACACACACGCGCACAATCAATTACTACGTCACTGGGGTCAAGTATACTTTTAAAGTTGCTCAAGTCTTACCTTTGCTGTGGCCCTCGCACGGAATTCGGGGCAGCCATTAACAGTGATCGTTTCATGCATGTATTGATACACCTAAAACAGCCACGTAAGAAAAGAACGTGTAAGCATATGTCAGGATATATCAATTCTTTCATTACCAATAGGACAGCAAATTTTCATTGTAGAATGATGGGTGTTCTCTATCACAATTGGTGAGTCAATTATCTTGATGATTTGAACCAAATATACTTTCTACTTTGTGTGTGTCTGTGTGTGTTGGGCCAGGAGAAGCAATTGCATTTAATCAGAGCTTTTAATCTGTCTGTTCATATATATGAGCTACAACAGCCCTTTTATTTCTGATTTTATAAAACTCCATCAATGTTTTTAATGCTTTTGTATATATTCATGTATGTATGTATATATGTATCTCTAGCTAAAAATAAATTATTAAGTTACATGGACAGTTACTTCTTGAATTTGGCAAAATTTTATAAATAATTCTCTAAATTAAGATCACAGTATATTACCTGACTTGAATTCCAACATGTTGGAAGGTGTGTTTCTATTAATGATACACATTTATGCTTTTGAATAACCAGGGCTAAACATTGCCATAAGCCAACAGGATACTCAATTAGTCCCTTAAGCACAGGGGTGAAATTGGTATTCTAGAGAAACTGTGAGGTAAGAGATTTGTAGAATTAATGATTCGGCTTTCATGATGCATTGGTACTTAATACGTGATAAAACTGAGGTGAAACAGAAATGGCAAGGCAAGCCTGGAATCAGGAGGCTTTTCTGTCTCATGGATTTAAGTTTGCACCTCGTTGAGGAACCATGAGAGTGTGTGCCACAATACTTTGTCTCTCCGCCAGTCTGGAAAATGAGTAAGGAATGTTGACTAAGTAGGGTTTAAGGGATCTGGCTCCTAATGGTACTTCTAAAGTAGCAGATAACATAACTAATTGGTGTTTAAGACACAATAGTAGAAGAAATTGCTGGACCACAATAAATAAAAACAGTTTTCCGTCTACCAGTCTAGTGAGGAGTTCATGAAATCTTTTGGTCAGTCATAACAAAACTGCTTTGTCTTACAGAAACTGAAGGATTCTTAATGTTATAGTTTGAAGAAGATACTTGGTCAAAAGAAAGGTTACAAATGTTGGAGTGTATGCTATATGCTTATTATTTCCAGTTTAAATAATGAAGTTATAAAATCTATCACATAATGCATGGAGATGAAAAGTCCTTTTGGCACTATGCTGCGGAATTTTATTTTGGAGAGAAGAATGAACCACTAATTAGCTCCTGAAAGAATGAAGTAGGAAAAAAAAATCTGTCATCAAAAGTCTAAAGGAGTATTTCATCCTTTTAATTATTCTTATGTTGAATGCCTGAGTCAGAGGTTATTAAAAAGAACCCCAAATTTGATTAACTACCATTCGACAGCTGTTTACTAAGATTTGAGGCTAGTCTCTCAGCCCTTGTAGCTGGCTCCTTATTTCTCAAATGAATTTGGTTGAGTCTCCGTCAATGCCAACTCAGACTAACTAGCTGATGTTCTCAGAGGTAAACTGTTACAGTGATCTACAGATTACTGAAATAGCTGCCAAACAAATTTCCGTATTAGCCTGGAAAGAGGAGCATTTTACTTCCTTGATAGATCTTTAAAAGTTTATTTGTACTCCCAGCTCATTAAGAGAAGGCTCTCTCTCTCCCCTCACCTGACACTTCTGTCCATCTCAATTCTGTTTTTTGTTTTTTTTTTTTTTTAAATTTTGCGACAGAGTTTATTCTGTAGTTTAGGAACCTGTACTGGAACTAGTTCTTGTAGACCACTCTGGCCTCAAACTCATAGAGAATCACCTGCCTCTGCCTCTGGAGTGATGGGTTTAAAGGAGTACACCACCACCGCCTGGCTCCATCTCAATTCCTGTAGGACGTCCCACCCCTTACTCATACATAGACTCACTACCCAGCGTCAAACACCCTTCACTACAGCTGCCTGGTCAAGTACCCAGCTAACCATGCATCTAGTACGCTTTTGGCGGGTCTACTGCCCTCCAGTGACAAAGCCAGGACAGAGATGACCGTGCAGAACACAAAACTTTTCTTCATTTTGTGTTCTTGGCTCCTGCAATTCTCCAGACATAGCAAAGATTTCCCCTTCAACTTGTCCAGATCTTTGCACATCCTTATAACTCTGATTAAAACACCCCTCCACCAGGCAGGTACTTATTTATTCCAGTTTAACAGGATGTTTAAGGGCCCAACTCAAGACTCATCTTCTTTGTTAAATCCCCTCCTGCATGCAGCATTACATTTTCTTCCCTTTTCACTTCTGGGACCTTCTGACTTCCCTGGACCTCATGTTGATTAGCATTTCTGGGGAACATGATGTATTTGCTTGCATCCACAGATGTTTATAAGGAACATCACATGGCAAATAATTAAAAGATTGCCGTCAACTGATTAAGACTAAAGATCATTTTTTGTTAGTGAGTAACTGTTCATCCTTAATAAATATGGCAAATTAAGAATTTTTAATTAAAAACCAAGGGGTAGAACTGTTAGATATTTGTGTAGGCTCTGGAGATGGCTTTAAAAACAAACCCTGGCTGTGCGGCTTTCCAATTTTATGATGTTGGTCAGTTAAGTGCTTGATTTCCCTGGGGCTCAATGTTCTCAGTTGAACAATGTGCTGTACAATGGTACCTTCCAGGTCTTTTATGAGGATTGGATAAGATCATAACTAAAAGTTTGCTAATATCACTGTTGTCATTGTTGCTGTTTATTTGATGTTGTTCATCTTATTTGACCCTGGGGTCTTCAGGGTAAAATCTCCCAGGATAAACAGCTTATGAACAGCTGTGGCTCACAACTGGGGACAAATTTGCCCTCCAGGAGACGTCTGATAGTGTCTGCTGCCTTTAAACAAGCAATAGCTGCAAATGTACACAGGGCAATGAATGCTGTATTAAAAAAAAAAATTCAACACTCCAAACCAAAAGTGAGTGAGATAGCATTTTAATCCTTTTAATAATGCTAACATTATCATTATCTACATTTTTATTTCTATAAAGCACAGTAGGTTCTGAATGCTTGGTCTTTGAACATGAAATAAGGGACATATGGTCTTAGTGATTTCCATTAACTCTATCACCTAAGAAACTTCCGCCCATTTCCTAAGGGAAAAGGTGTATCCTTGCACATCTTTCATTTCAAGGACAACTATCAATATATTTGGATCATTTGATGAACATTGTCAGGGAAAGCCAGTCATTTGCCAGAGAGTATACATAGTTGTATAAGTTCCAACAATGGAAAGTGAGGCTTATTACCTTCTGAATCACCCGCCTCACGTATCTTGTAAATCTGAGCTGCAGCATTTGTAGACAAATTCCATTAAGCAGGATAGACTTCATTCTTAGGTAAGTGAGATCATTGCTAGAATGTTTAGGACAATTTTAACTTCTATTTCGATATCAGCAATTTTCTAACTTTAAAAACCCTTACAGATTCCACAACATTTTGAATATTTAGAGCTTCTTCCATACTGCTGGAAATTTAGAAAGATAAGTCAACTAGACACAAACAACAGGATGGTGGTGCATTGGCTGAGAAAGTGTACTGAATCTTGTGTTCAACTAACATTCCTTTCTGAGTTATTCTGGATGTCAGCTGTAGTAAGTTATGAAAGGACAAAGTCTACTAGCAAAAATGAAAGAATATAATTTTCATTACTGATGGGCTATTTAAATTTTTTCTTTTTTTAATATTTATTTATTTATTTATTTATTTATTATATACAATATTTTGTCTGTGTGTATGTCTGCAGGCCAGAAGAGGGCACCAGACCTCATTACAGATGGTTGTGAGCCACCATGTGGTTGCCAGGAATTGAACTCAGGACCTTTGGAAGAACAGGCAATGCTCTTAACCACTGAGCCATCTCTTCAGCCCGCTATTTAAAATTTTTAATGAATATTTTTCATTTTACTTTTCTCTGTAGAGTTTTATCAATGAGAGGCTAGGCAGTACAAATGAACCTTTACCCTGGCATCAGTTTATCAATGACGATCTCAATAGCATTGCCACTTAGAGAGGGTAAAGCTAAATGGCTAAGATTCTAGTATGAGAAGAGATTTTTGCATCTGAACTTTCATTTGTGCAGAAGCTAAACACCACCCTAAAAGCTTTCAGCGTACACCTCCCCATCTTGAACATTCTCAACAATATACAGAGATAGGAGAGTTGTCAAGCGTAGGCTTTAGATTTCTTATTCCGGATGCCTTTTCTAGGAGACTTTAACAGTCTACATTCACGAACCTTATTTTCCACTATGTATCACACAAGCAGACTAAGAAAGATAAAATACGTGACTTTGTTGGCATAACCCATTATTCATATTAAGCTCTAGTTGTAGTAGTTATAATAGTTTTTATTTCTATTATTACTAGCCTTTATATAACTCAAGTCTTTAAAATGAAGTCTTTAGTATGTAGATGTTTTGTTGGCTGAAAGTTAAAACTTTTTCTTTGCATTTGAAGTGAGATTATGATTTTCTTTTTTTTTTTCTTTTCTGGTCATCTACTGTAATAGAACAATAATTTCATTTTCTTTTGTATTTTGAGGTTATTTAAATATTTCTATGCTCATGTAACATAATCAACATCTGCCCTCCTCATCCTAATTTTTTTTTTTTTTTGATTTTTCGAGACAGGGTTTCTCCGTATCCTCATCGTAATTTTTCCTGGCCACACGACTTAGTTGTGCTCAGGGAGAATTACATTAGAATTAAGTGAGATGCCTCTAGCAGGCTCCGCTCTTTCTGCATTTTCTTCACCAGTGTGCATATATCCAGCTGTTACTGCAGACATAATTTCCAGAGAAGGGGAGTGACAGTGTGTAATCATCATGTGATTGATTGAGGGCCCCCAAGTCTATGGCACGGATAGCTGCTCATTTCTCTGCTTGCTCCAGTAATGAAAAGAAATCATCTTTTTAGGGGGGATGGGGAAGTAACACGGTGAATGAGAGCATGGGCTCTTCCAGAGGACCCAGATTTGCTACTGAGCCCCCATGGTGCT